CTCTGTCTCTGTCTCTCCAGTGAGTACACATGCCCTATAGCAAAAATAATTCTCAAAAATAAAAAGAAACAAGAACAAAAAACACTATGAAAGCATTTGAGTTGAACTTTTAACCATAAAGAAAGTCATATTTATTATGTAACATCTATATACCCTGAATTTTGTTAGATATTTTAAACATACTATGCATTAAAAAAACTAACAGCAATCTAAGCTAGGTATTAAAGTCCCATTTTCAAAATAACTTTTTATTTCATTTTATTTATTATTATTATTTTTTAATTTGCTATAAGGCATGTGCTCTCACCAGAGAGAAACAGAGCTAGATAGAGAAAAAGTGAGAAAGCAAACCATCAGATTAGAGACTTGAAACGTGATTGACCACGTGGGAGCCCAGTGCCTTAACCACCACACCACGTGCTGGCTCCCAAAACAATTTTTAAGTATATTAAAAATGGTAACTTTCATGTTTGATATACATAATTGTCACATTTTTATTTATTTTTTATTTTAGCTCTGCTGGTATTTATTTCTTTAGATTTAAATTAATGTTAATCAAAGCTATAGATCTTTATTTTTATTATTTGTTTTATACTGCTAATCCTTTGCAAGTTACTGTTTTCTTCTGATGAAGAGAAACACTGAATTTTAGTATTGTTCAAATTATATTTAAAGAGTTCTAAGATTTTTAGAGGTGTCTTCGTGACAGCTGGGAGAAAATAATGCCAGAAAATAGGTCAAGAAAAAAATAACAGAAAAATGGACAGGGGCCCTCCAGCCCTACTTAAGTCAGGAAAGTGTACTTTTATCTTCCTGAATACTGAATTTTAATGTAAAACTAGTTTTTAACAAAATCTCTTAATTGACAAAAGAATATTTCTGCCTTAACAGTCTAAAATATCCTAAAGTTTATGGCGAACAGTAAGATTCTCATTTTCAATTTTATTCCATGCTGCTAACCATTCATGCTAAGATGCTTTATTAAACAAATATTTCTTTTTTCTTTGGTTTGAGGATCTTGTTTTTATTATATATTAAAGTTTTTTTTTTTATAATTGTAATTCCAGGATATCCTAACATTCTCACTCTTTTATTTTAGAAGTTAGATAATTAACGTTTCATACTGATTATTACTTTTTGAAGTGGAAATGACAGAAATTCCAGAGGAACAAGATGAGATAAAAAGAGAATTTATTGGTTTACAAGATGCAAGGCAGGGATGAACATTCAATCTATGGGAAAAGCAGAAAAGAAGCTGAGATAGGCATGTGTGCTCATTGGAGAGGGAGAGAGAGAGAGAGAGAGAGACCAAGTGAGATCACCCTCCAGGAGGATGGCCCTGGTGCAATCCCTGTACCTCCATTCTCCTCCTGGAATTCTGGGAATGCACACACACAGGCCTGGTGTGATTTTCAAGTTGCCAGCTCCTGGATTTAAACCATGGTCAGCCATATTGGAGCCCAGCACCTTAACCAACATACCTTCTGCTGACCTAGAAGCTCAATTTTTTATTGATTAAGGAAGTTCATTTATTTATCACTGTAATAGCAGTGCTAAGATGTTGAGTTTCAGCTCCACAATTTAAGAGGCCATAGCTGCTCCATCCTTGCAGCAACACAAGATCTAGGGCTTATCCTGGACCTCATGGTCCATGATGGTTCACTGACATCCTATCTGCATTCCAGCTAAGGAAGAGGGCAAAAGGGGGAAAGAGCAAAGCCATACAGTTTACTTTTAAGGGAACTCCACAAAAGATGGATGGATAGATAGATGGATGATAGATAGATCAATGGATGATAGATGAACTTTATTTTTGCTCTAGGTGTATCATGTAGCCATAACTTGCTGCAAGGTAAGCCCAGGAGGTAACTCTTTTCTTTCCATTGTATCATAAAATAAATGTAAAGTATCTTTTATGTACATTCTATATACCTTCTATATACATGATAGAACATCTTCTGTAAAGAAACTTTTTTTTTTTTTGAGAGGTTTTTGCTATAGGGCGCATGCACTTGCCAGACAGACAGAGAGAGACATAGAGACAGAAAGCCAGAAATCACCCCCCAAGGGGGATGGTCACGCCGCAATCTCTTCTCCTCCATTCTCCTCTCGGGATCTTGGGCACGCACGCACGCACACGCGCCCAGCGTGAGCTTTAAGCCACCGGGTCCGGAACGCGAACCGCCGTCAACTACGTGGGAGTCCAGCAACATAGCCATTACACTAACTGCTGGTCCCAAGAAACTCTTTAAAGCAGAATCTGTCTGCTCTTATTGAGCAGATATTAAATAGACTTTATTACTTATATCTTACTGAGTTTCCTAAATAGATTCTACAATTATATTTTCATAAAGTTTAAACATCTCTTCTTAATTGCCATCTGCTTAAAAATTAATTAACAGTGAGAAAAGGATCTAATTTCTTTTTATATTTCCTTTTAGGTTAATTATTGTTGTACAAGGAAATTTACTTTATATAATTCTTACTCAATAATACTTTGTTCTTTTCAATATATATTATCTGATTGTGGATTTTCTAAATATATAATCATATCACCTGTACTTCTGGTACTTTCTAGTAACACATCTCCTAATTGCATAAGTGAAATACATTCATTTTAGATTTTGGAAAATTCATAAGGAGAATAAACACAGAAATAAAAATAACCCACTGCTCATACTAATCACTTGTTGTGCTTTTTTTGGTCTGTATTGGTCTTTCTTTTCTATTTTTCCCACATACGCGTAACATGTTATTAAGTATATGCTTTATCTTATTTTATCGAATAACAAATGCATGCTATTTTACAAGACAAATAGTGTTCCAAGCCTCATAACAAATGCTCCGACCTCTCCCCTCTCCGTCCTCCCCCAGGCCCAAGTCCACAAGTCAGCTACTATAACTTTCAGCTATTTATTCTGAAATTTACCTCTATATTTCTAAATAATAGAAAGATTATGGTCTAGTTTATCAAGTTACCTTTATAGTTTCTCACAGATAAATAATATATTTTTTAAGAATTATTTTATTTACTTATTATTATTATCATTATTATTTTCCAGTTTGATCAGAGAGAGAGGGAGAGGAAGTGAGAAAGCAAGTCACCAGGTCCGAGACTTGAACTGTGGTTGGCCATGTGGGAGTCCGGCGCCTTTAACCACCATGCCACTTGCTGGCCCCAGATAAATAATAATTTTAACTCTCTTATAACCCTCCTTTTCTTTTCTCTATCTTTTCAGTATAGTATTGGGGTATTGAGTCATCATGAAAGTCATACTGTATTTGTGCACAGAGAAACAGAAAAATATGTTATGACCTTCCTGATGACCTAATATTATGATTTGGGGTAAAATCCACATTTAGAATGTTTATTATTTTTATTTTTAAAATACTATTCGTAATTAAGCCAATCAAATGCTATAATTGCATTTCTTTACTACATTATTTTTATCTTGAAGTTCATAGATTATTTTAGCTTTTTGTTTGATTTTAAAGTACCCATCACTGTTTATACCAAATTCTTTAAAAACAATCATACCTGTCACTTCATAGGATAGTAAAACCTGGATGATTCATAATGCTTTTCCTAGGATGATATACTCAAAGACTGTCCTGTTCTTATTTCACAGTTACTATTAATGGACATTCCTTCATCATCTCTTCTAGATCCAATAGCACCTTGCCATTCAATAAACATTTCAATTCTCTCATGTGTGTTTCAGGCACTGCACCAGATGCTAGAATTCCATCAGTGATTAGGACATAATTGATCTATGAGGAGTCAGGCTAATATAGAAATGTAGACATTAAGTGGATAGCTGGAGCATAGTGTGATGGGTACAATAACAGAGGGCACGCAAGACTTACAACACATGAGAGGTTTAAGCCTTGTTGGACTGAATATAAAAATGCTTTTAAGAACTCATGGCAGTTGAGAAGATCAAATGTGACCTCATGGAACCATTCAAGAACAGAGTAAATAGATTAGTTCTGAAGTATATGTGTTAGGTAATCAAATCTAGGAGCTTTTCGGAGACAAAAAGGTATTCATAGGCACGAGTAACCAGGATTCTTGTCTCTCCTCAGTGGTATTTTCTTGTGTGGTTTGTAGGATTACAAATAATCAGAATACTACTATTCTTTCAAGGCTCAGAATTATTTTAAAAATACACTTGGGGAAGGCCAACGGTGATGTATACATATATACACACACACACGCATACATGCATACACACTTGATTACATTTTGTTGTTTTAAAACTGTGACCTCTATGAATGCAGAGATTATTCACATGTCCTGGGTTCCTTGGGAGTGTTCTAAGACTACTGAATAACTGCCAACATTATAGTCAGTCAAGGTTTGTCAAAACAATTCATTAAGGTTGATGGATTATTGAATGGCTAATGATGGAACAGGATTTTCTAGCTAATCGTGATGAATATCAGATCAGCAGAAGGAGCTTTAGAAATAACAGCTAACATTTAATTCAGTTCACACTGTATAGAAGTACTGAAAATTTGCAGATGTTATCTATAAATTTGAAAATTTCCCATTAAGAGGATATCATTTTCGTATTTTCCTGATAAAGAAACTGAAGCCCAGGAATCTTAGTACAAGTTTCCCAGACTTTCACAGCAAAGATTCAAACCTAAGTGTCTGGCTGCAGATGGCATGGTGTTAACATTGCTGGACTCCACAGGGTGGACCGTGGTTCAAGTCCCAACAGCTAGAAACACACCAGGTGCGAATGCATGCATGCCCAAAATCTCAAAAGGAGAAGGGATGAGAAGCAATTGCATCGTGGCCATCCTCCCTGGGTGGGATGGATGATTTCTCTCTTTCTGTCTCTCTAGCTCTGTCTCTCTGATGAGTGCACATACCCTATAGCAAAAAAAAAAAAAAAATCACACACACACACACAGAGAGTGATGATGCTGATCATGATGATGGTGATGATGATGATGATGATAACGATAGTAAAACTGTCTTTCTATTTCAGACCCAGACTTTTTTCAAGCCTATATTAAGCCCTTCTTGGAACAAGCCCTTCAGATCTGGCCGTGGCTGGTTGGGGCAGCTGTGGTAGGCGCTGTCCTCACTGCTGTGCTGGCAAAGATCACCAGCCTATGCCGTCACAAGAAAGAGCAGCTTCCTGAAGAAAAGCAACCTCTCCTCATGGAAAAAGAGGACTACCACAGCTTGTTGTATCAGAGTCGTTTATAAAAGGCTTTGGCCATAGAGCCAGGCCAGGAAGCCTGACTTCACTCTAACTAAAGTGATGTCCAGGTTCCCAGGAAACATCTCTACCAATGTCTGGAAGACATTCCCAGAATTGTAGCTCTAATACGGTGGGTCCCCTCCCAACACTGGGAGGACACATCTGTGTCCTCTGTTTCTACTTAGCCCTTTTTACAGTTTCCCTCAAGCCCCTATTTCTAAGGATGATAGTAATCAGTAACTGTTACTCGTACTGAATTAAAATACTTTCATTAAAATTGGAATAATTTTGATTTTTGCCTCTTGATTATTTAGAGACGTGTTTTTTTATTGCCTTTTTTCTTTTATTTCAATGAAACAGTAACATATCTACTCTGACTCCATTGAACTTGAGAAATACATTTTTATATTTATTTTTATTTTACTTATGCATTTTTTAGGCTATATAGGATGTGTGTTCACCAGAGACAGACAGAGAGAGGGAAAGTGAGAAGGACCTTCCCCTCTCCAGAAAGAGAGGGGATGACCATGCCACAGTCCATTCTCCTCCACTTCCCCTTCAGGATTTTGGACATGCACACACGTGCATCCAGCTTGCTTAAGTTATGGGGGGGTGGGGTGGGGTGGGACTTGAACCACACAGGAGGCCAGGTAGGATCCAGCCACTTTAACCTCCATGCCATCTGCTGGTCCCAATTTTCTCTTCCATCAGAAAGCATGTTATTTCTTTGCATTGTAGATTTTTTTTCTCAAAAATGTGTTATGGACTTCAAATAGATCACAACCTTCAGCTCCTTCCTGTCATAGCCCTGACTATATCAAATCACTGAGAACAAGAACATAGCCCCCACAAAATGTCTGGCTAAATACCTGCCTTCAGGTCTGTCTATTAATCTTGTGCATGCTAATAATGTGCATACAAACAGCTTTTCTGTAACCTTCTAAGCCAGAATGTTACTTTATTGGGAGAATTTTAAAATGCTACCAAACATTTGAAGTCTAAACACAATGATCTCAAGAGAAGCCAGTCTGCAGTTCTAGTAAAATAACTCATTTCCATTTCCCTTGGCCATTATGACCTTAAATTGAGATGTCCACATCATCACCTACTTGAATTTTTGGGCCCTGTCAAGTTTCTAAAGAGTTTAATGATATTAAAGCTGTGTCTAGCATAAAAGATTAGGGCTGGTGGGTAGAATAACAGAGGGCACTCTTGGTTCAGTAAAAGGAAAAACTGTCTAATACTCAAAGCTTTTCAAAATCGAAGTGGGTACCAGAAGATGGCATAGTGATTATGTCGCTGGACTGGTAAATAGTTGATAGCAGTTCAAGTCCTGGACCCAGTGGCTTACAACTCATGCCAGGCACGTGTGCCTGTGTGCCCAAGGCCCCAAGAGGTAAATAGAGGAATACGGGCTGCAGCATGGCCATTCCCCTGGGAACTGATTTCTCTCTTTCTGTCTCTGTCTTGCTTGTGAGTGCACATACATGTAGTGTAGCTAAAATATTTCTCTTAAAAAAAAAATCAAAATGGACATCTTGGGGGACCAGCAAGGGGCATGGTGGTTAAGGTACTGGACACTCCCACATGGCTAACCACATTTTGAGTCCCTGACCTAGTGGCTTGCTTTCTCTCTCTCTCTCTCTCTCTCTCTCTTTCTCTCTCTCTCTCTCTCGTCTCTTTCTGGTTAAATTAAAATAAACAAATGAATGAATAATATTAAATTAAAATAACTATTCAAAAAAATTTTTTGAGAGGTTTTTGCTATAGAGTGTGTGGACTTGCCAGAAAGACAGAGAGAGACAGAGAAACAGAAAGCAAGAAATCACCCCTAGGGTGGATGGTCACACTGCAATCCCTTCTCCTCCGTTCTCCTCTCAGGATATTGGGCACACACGCACATGCACCCGACATAAGTTTAAGCCACCAGGTCTGGGACTCAAACTGTGATCAACTACAAGGGAGTCCAGTGATATAGCCATTATGCCAACTGTTGGTCCCTCAAAAAAAGTTTTTAATGGACACCTTTGGAAGAAAATAAGTAGTTAGCTTAAAAATTTAAACAGCTCATTGGCAATGCCATTTCAGGATCAGAGTCAATTTGGTTGGGAATTAGAACCCCTAAAACCAAAAGCAATAAGGAAAGAGGGGGGAAATTGGTTAACGGTCTACAGAAGATGGTGGAGAACAAATAAGAGTGATTGGAGGCACTGAGTCTTGGAGCCTACTTGTGTGGGTGGGCAGGTCTGGCTCACCTAATGGACACTAAGCTGTGCTGGATGCTGCAAAACACCTACATGTGGGCCACTTGTCTAGGTTTGAGCTGACAGTAAGATTTTAATACAGAATAGTATTTTTAAATCATTTTTATAAAGCATTTTGAATAAAAGTCCACCCAAGATATTTTCACTGTAATTGATAGTGATTGGTATAAAGCCATTTTTATTTTCTTTATCATGAGGCAATCCCCTCCTTTATCACTAAAGTTCAACATAGAATATTGTTTTGTTTTTATGGAGGCAAAAGTTATCTATTCAAGTAGCAGAAACAATGATGATAAAACCACTCCCAGTCTGATTTCATGGTTTTCTCATTAAGCACCAGAATTACATGACTGATATTTCAAGATATCTGAGTCTTATTGCATTCTAATCAACATTATATTCTATGGTTTTGCTTTTTGCTGTGGTTTTTGTTCTGATCTTTTTCTACTATTACAGTATGGCACATCATGTTATGAAGAGAAGTAAGCAGCTGCCACACTTTTTTGTGTGTGTGCTTTTTTTTTTTAATTGTAAATTAATTTTTTTTTGTTTGGAGAGGTTTTTGTTATAGGGCGTGTGCACTCACCAGAAAGACAGAGAGAGACAGAGAGACAGAAAGTAAGAACTCACCCCCCGGGGGGAATGGCCATGCTGCAATCCCTTTTCCCCCGTTCTCCTCTCAGGATCTTGGGCACACACGCACATGCACCCGGCATGAGATTAAGTCACAGGATCTAGGACTTGAACCGCAGTCGACTACCTGGGAGTTCAGCAACATAGCCATGATGCTAACTGCTGGTCCCAGTGTTTTGCTTTTTAAAAATGTATTTTTGAGACGCAACCTTTCCAGCAAGTCAAATACATAATTCTCCATCTGCAGAAACAAAAACGTGATAGGTACAAGTCACTTCGACAGTGTCTCCAGCAGGCTGACAACTGACATTGATGGTAGGAGTTTTTAAATAGGCTTTTCCTTGTGTATATGGCTCTGATTTGTAGGAACAATTTTCTTTGCCATCATAAAAAGGGCCTTGTTGAGGCCACTTATTGTGCACCTGTGCTAGTTTGTCGGGCATGTTAATAGAACTAAGTTCTACTCCCCCTCCGATTAGACTTCTGAGAGCCACAGAAATGCAAATGTAAAATAAATTTTTTGTTTTCTTTTAGTTTTTAATAAACTTTGAATTGCTTACTTTTAAAAGCAGTTGTCAGTTTGTACAATGTAATGAAAATAAAACTTGGCTCTGGAAACCATTGAGGCCTCAAGAGCTTGCAAATTGTTCAGCTATTGAAAACTATGTAAGAATAATTTAAATATTTTCTTTTTTAAAAAAAACATTTTTTAAAACTCTGTATAGTGTATGCTTATGTTATTGTTATTTAAGTTCTTCATATTCATCAATTAGTTCTTACATGTTGCATAAGTATGATTATAAGGCATACTCCTATAATTTCTAATTTCTTTCTTTTTAATTAAACATTTTTTTTTAATTACAGAGAGTGGGGGCTCACAGGTGGCATGGTGGTTAAGGGCATTGGACCCATGTGGCTGACCAGAGTTTGAGTCCTGGACCTGGCAGCTTGCTTTCTCACTTTCCCTCTCTCTCTCACTCTGTCCCTCTCTGGTCAAATTAAAATAAAAAATAAAATTAAAATAAAATAATTCTTTAAAAAATTGCTGAGAGTGAATAAACCCATCAGAGAGAGAAAACACCCCCAATAGGGCATAATCACACTGCAATCCTTTTTCCTCCATTTCTCCATCCATCAGGATTTGGGACATGCCTGCACACAAACCCAGCATGATTTTCAAGCCACAGGGACCAGGATTGAAATCTCACTTGTTATGTGGGATCCTGCTCTCTATGCACAGCGCTTAACCACTATACTTCAGGATCAGCCTGACTTCTAATTTCTTAATTAAAAATAGATAATAAAGGTGTTAAAATTTGGGGCCAGCAGGTGGCATAGTAGTTAAGGCGCTGGACTCCCACATGGTTGACTGTAGTCCAAGTCCCAGACCCAGTAGCTTGAAACTCACACTGGGCACATGTGCAAGCATGCCCAAAATCCCAAGAGGAGAATGGAGGAGAAGGGACTGTGGCATGGCCATCCCCTCTGGGGAGTGATTTCTCACTTCCTCTCTATCTCTCTCATCTCTCTGGTGAGAGCATGTACCCTATAACAAAAATCTCTCTTAAAATAAAAAAGAGATGTTAAAATTTAAGGAATAATTATGCTATCCCAAGAAGTATGCTGAGCATTTGCAGATTAATTCATTTAATCTCTACATTATCAATTTGAGAATAAGTACTATTTATATTTTTAAATGAGGAAAATTATTCCTTAAGTAGGATAGATACCTTATCCAAGTTTATGTGTTTGATTGGTAGTTTAGGTAATTTTTCTGAGATTTGAATTTAGTTATTCTAAGATGATTCTTAGTTACAAATTTAATTGCTACATTTTATTCAATTATGTTCAGGGTCATTATCAACAAATATTTTGCTACTATGCGTTTGTGTTTCTTCTACTTTTTGTTTGTTTAGTGCTGTAATGAATATCTTTGTGTATACAGCATCTCATTTCTCTTTAATTATTTTCTGAAATAGATTTTTGGGTCAAAGCCCATAAATAAAAATATCTTCAAAACTTTCATGGAAAAATGCATATTATTAATAAACTACGAATGGATTTCAAAATTGCACCAAAATAAGCATATACTTTAATCCTATTTTTTCATGAACTGTTTAAAGCCCTCCAGTTTTCTGATAACTTTTCTAGCAGGTTGTGATCCTGTTTTTGAGCTGCATAGATTTAAAGATATAAAGGAAGAAGGAGTCTAAAATAGGAGATCAGAAAGAATGAAGACAAAAAAGGTAAAGAACTGAGGTGATGAAAGAAGAGTTGCAATTCTCTTTGAGGAGAATTGAAGACCCTAA